GGTTAGCTTTTTACCAAGGGAGCTGTGACCCTGGAAAACTCACGCCCCCAAAATCTTGTTGGTCTCTAAGGTGCTACTGGTAGGGTTGCCAATCCCCAGGTGGCACCTGGAGAACTCCTACTATTGCAATTGGTTTCCAGACGACCAAGATCAGTTCTCCTGGAGAAAACGACTGCCTTGGAGGATAGTGTTAAGTAGGAGACTCAACACAGCTAGTGAACAGTGAATCGGCTTTATTTAACGAAGTGAGAAGAAATCAGAAGAGACAAAAACATAGAGCAACAGGCTCTCCTTTAAACAGTCCAGGCTTAGGTAGCCACGCCCACATATCAGCTAACAACCAATAACTATTTACAGATAAGGTCCAATCAGAGTGCTTCCCTCCAGAACATTGCACAGTTCTGATTGGTCTATTTACAATCCTGGTTCATACTCAAGCTTAACATAGTTTTCAATACACAACAATTCCACCCCCCAGGGCTATTTTTGGGCAGGAACCACAGGAACGGAGTTCCGGCTGGCTCCTGAGCTGGCCACGCCCAGCAGGAACTCATTAGCATAATAGGCCACAGCTAACAGCAGAAACTCATTAGGATTGGCCTAACATGCAAAGAAGTTCCTGCTACAAAAAAAGCCCAGGGTTTTGACAGCAAAGTAAACAGAATAAGAAGCAAAAGGTGGGTGTGGCTGGATGACCACACTTCTAGCAACATGGGGGTGTGGCCTTATATGCTAATGAGCTATGATGTCAGGGGTGTGGCCTAATATGCTAATGAGTTTCTGCTGTTGGGTGTGGCCTGTTATGCTAATGAGTTCCTGCTGGGCTTTTTCTACAAAAAAAGCCCTGCCACCCCCCCTAAGACGGAACAACCTGGGAACACAGGTAGTCTTTCAGATAAGCAGGAGGCTGTTTGCTCCGTTGTGACCGTCTTAATGTTACTACTGGGGGACTGATTGGCGTTTCCCTGTTGGTAGGGCTTTCTCATATACCTTGGGGCCAGTTTGCCTGAAAACTGTCTTCAGGCGGGTAACTGGGTTCAGTCGTGATACTGGGTGGTTCTCCCTCGTGGGAGTTCTCCAAGCTGGGAAGCTCTACCCGTTCGCCCAGAACGGGTACGTCTGCCACATCAGTACTGGGCTCAGGGTCTACCTCAGCTCACCTTTTCCTTAGCTGGTCGATGTGCCTTTTAAACATTTGACCGTCTGCTAACCTTACCGAGTAAGTTCAGGAACCCAGTACCTTGGTTACCGTTGCTGGCAACCAACGATGCCCTCCAGGATAGTTCCGAGCATAAACATACTCTCCCTCCTCAAACCCCCTAGTCCAGTCAGTGGACTCACTTTGTGGGGGTTTGGATGTTGTTAGGTCCGGGTGCATACGATCGAGGAGAGTGGTTAAGCGACGACCCATTAGCATTTCGGCTGGGCTCCACCCCGTCACAGAGTGTGGCGTGACGTGCTGGTGCAGGAGGAATGACGGCACCTTTTGGCTCCAGTTGCCCTGCACCAGCGGCTCAGAGTCTCCTTCGTTGGTCTACACCATTCTTTTGGCTTGGCCGTTGGTAGCCGGGTGGATTGGTGCAGACGTGCTGTGCTGGATCAGATTTGCTGCCAAAAATTCTTGAAACTCTGAGGTGGTAAAACAGGTTCCGTTGTCGGACACGAGAGTGTGCGGCAACCAATGCGTTGCAAAAATGCAGCACGGCGCATTAATTACCGTTAGCTCAGTCATCTTAGAGGTTGGGACCACCTCTAGCCATTTTGAGTGCACATCGACAATTATTAGGAATATCTGGCCCTGAAATAGTCCCGCAAAGTCGATGTGGACTCGCGACCAGGGCTGGTGACATTTCTCTCATTGCTGTACCGGGGCATGTGGGGGATCAGGCCGGGACAGCTGGCACTCGTGACATCTCTGTACCCAACTCTCGATGTCAGAGTCAATTTTCGGCCACCAAAAGTAACCTCGGGCTAGCCCCTCTAGCCATTTTGAGTGCACATCGACAATTATTAGGAATATCTGGCCCTGAAATAGTCCCGCAAAGTCGATGTGGACTCGCGACCAGGGCTGGTGACATTTCTCCCATTTCTGTACCGGGGCATGTGGGGGATCAGGCCGGGACAGCTGGCACTCGTGACATCTCTGTACCCAACTCTCGATGTCAGAGTCAATTTTCGGCCACCAAAAGTAACCTCGGGCTAGCCCCTTCATTCTCACAATGCCGGGGTGGCATTCGTGCAGCGCCTCAAGAACCTGGTTTCTCAGTTTGGGTGGAACCACTACCCTGTTTTCCCACAATAAACATCTTCTGTGGATAGAGAGTTCGCATTGCCGTGATACAAACGGCTTGAATTCCTCAGCTATGCGCCTCACCGGCTACCCCTCCACACCCAGTTGAGCGCCCTGGCGATTGTGGAGTCCTTGGCCAAAATGGTTGCAATGTCCGACACGTGCACCGGAGGTTTGGCCAGTTCCTCGAGGGCCATTACCTCGAACGCCGGTGCAGGGTCAGAATCCAGTTCAGGTAAGGGACAGCGGCTGAGGGCGTCAGCATGCCCCATGTTCTTGCCAGGCCGATGTTCCAGTACGTAGTTATATGCTGACAAGAACACTGTCCAGCGCAACATCCTGGCTGACAAGATGTTGGGCATTTGGCGGTCCGGCGCGAAAATTCCCAGAAGGGGCTTATGGTCAGTGACCATTACAAAAGGTCTGCCATATAGTAAATCGTGAAATTTCTTCATGCCGGCCACAAGCACCAATCCCTCTTTGTCTATTTGCGCGTAATTCCTCTCGGCAGTGGTGAGCGTCCGAGAGTAATACGCGATGGGCGCTTCTCTGCTGCCAGCCATCAGATGGCTCAACACAGCCCCCACTCCATAAGGAGAAGCGTCCACGGCCAACACCAGCTGCTTAGCTTCATCATAGTGCGTCAATACAACATCAGACAAGAACAGAGTCTTTATGGCTTTGAAAGCACGGTCGTGCTGTGGGCCCCACTCCCACTTAGCCCCCTTGATAAGCAGCTTATGTAAGGGTTCTGCAATAGACGCCTTATGTGGCAGGAATGCGTAGTAAAACTTCAATATGCCCAAGAAGGACTGCAGTTCCTTCTTGGATTCCGGTCTTGGGGCATTTCGGATAGCCTGCACCTTACCCGTTGTAGGGTGTACACCGTGTGCATCGATTAGGAACCCCAAAAATTCCACCTTGGGCACTCCCAAGTGGCACTTCAATTTCTTCACTTTTAACCCTGCCACTTGGAAACGGCCCAACACAGCCCTGACGCGCTCCGTCAGTTCATCTTCATTTTTTCCGGTGATTAACACATCATCAAAATATGGGACTACCCCAGGCAGGTCCCTCAATAATCCCTCCATCAGGCCTTGGAAAATACCTGGGGCAATGTTTACCTCAAATTGCAACCTGTGTGTGATGATTGTTTGTGCTATAGCGGCTTGCGTGTCTACAGGAAGTTGTTGGTAAGCCTGAGCCAGATCTAACTTGGCAAAGACTTTACCTTCTCCCAAGGACGCTAGCACATGGCTAATAACTGGAACGGGGTATGAGTGTTGCTGTAGGCTTAACAGGTGTCACAATAGGGGTCTCCCATCTCGCATGTGATACCGGTTCTAACACACCTTGGGCCACAAGTTTGTTTAACTCGGCCTCAATACGTGGTTTCATGGAAACTGTGACGTCCTCCTTATTGGGGAGGACTAGGTTCCCTTTAAAAGTGTTCCTTTTATTTTGTTCTACTGGGTATATATGGCTGCCACCAGGAAATTTTAAGGATTTCCAAACCTTTATACTTTTACTTCTGCTCTTACTGGTTAGGTAGACCGAGTTCCAGGCTTACAAGGAACTATGTGGTCCTGAGGAAGTATTTCTTTCAGATCTGGTATACTTGAATAAAAGAGGATTTATTGAAATAATTCATAAATAAAAGGGTAGAACAATGTAACTATTAATGTGTAAATAATGAACAATTGCTTGGTGTATCACACACAGTCTGCTCCCTTATTGACAGGGAACTTTCAGGTAACTTTGTAACACTTTAACTCAAGGTCATATATGTTCACTGTTTCTCTCTAGGACATACAGCCTTTCCTATAACTTGTCTTTAATTACTTTCATTTAATTTTTCCGATTCTCTCAGCCTTTCTTCTGTTTCTCACTGAACTAACTCATTCCACACAGGACTGCTTCTCACTTCCCTCACACACAGAACTAACTGAACTAATCAACTGTCAAACCTGTAACTGTCACTCCTGACTGACATACATACTCATCCACTCATTTTCACTTCCAAAACCCCTCCCCCTCTCTGTCAACCACCAATCATACCACACTTGCTTCTCTCAACCACTCTAGTCTACTTACCACAGCCATGCAACCAAACTTTTAAAGAGACACACACACACCAAAAACAAGGAATCGTTACAGGCACCTTTCAATATTTTAGCCGTATAGGTGCTACGGAAGGACCCAACTCAAAGGTTACCGGCTGCCCTCTATACATTCCCAACGTACCATCAAATACTTCAGCAAATTCAGTATACAGTGCATTCAATTTATTTGC